CTCACCTCCCGCTTCCCTCACCTCCCGCTTCCCTCACCTCCCGCTTCCCTCACCTCCCGCTTCCCTCACCTCCCGCTTCCCTCACCTCCCGCTTCTCTCATCTCCCGCTTTGCTCTCTTACCTCCCACATCGCTCTCTCGCTTCCCTCTCTCACCTCCCGCTTCGTTCTTTCGCCTCCTGCTTCCCTCTCTCACCTCCCGCTTCGCTCTTTCGCCTCCTGCTTCCCTCTCTCACCTCCCGCTTCGCTCTTTCGCCTCCCGCTTCCCTCTCTCGCCTCCCGCTTCGCTCTCTCACCTCCCGCTTCGCTCTCTCGTCTCCCGCTTCCCTCAGTCACCTCCCGCTTCCCTCTCTCGCCTCCCGCTTCCCTCTCTCGCCTCCCGCTTCCCTCTCTCGCCTCCCGCTTCCCTCTCTCACCTCCCGCTTCGCTCTCTCACCTCCCGGCGCGATCACCCAGGATCTCCCCCCCCCATGTTCACTCGAACCATCGGCAGTTACCTTGTATTGGGTCACATGACCACCCGGTACCCTCTTCTCCCTGCAGTTGTGGGGGCGGAGACTCCAAGAAGATGCTCATCAGCTTTCACCAACATCATAGGTCAATCAGAGTGGTGAAGGCGGAGCTTTGTGACAGGAGGAGGCGCTGTTAGTCAACCACTCTTATCTATCCCGGATGACGGGGAAGGGGGAGTGGTAAGAGTGTTTGATTGACAGTGGCTCCGCCCATCATTGCAGTTCAACGGTCCCGCCCACCGCCTGAGCCCACAGGTAACCGTGGGACCTGCAGATCATTGTCACCGCCCCCAACCGGCGGGATAGAAAGTGCGTCCCATGTCCTGGAGAAGGATTGGGGGGTTCAGGGGGTGCAGATCTATCAGACAGGAAGTGAAGGTGTTTCTGGTGTCTCCATGGTAACGGTTGTTTTGTCTGCGGCAGGCACCGATATCCGGATCCGGTCCCCGTGTGATTCCCGCCCCCTCCCGGGTGCTCGGATTTCCGGCACGCAGCCTCGGGACTCGGCGGATCGGCCGTACTCCTGCGACGACTGTCACCGCAGCTTCCTGCGCAAGTCTCACCTGACCAGCCACCAGCGCACCCACCGCGGGGAGCGCCCCTACGCCTGCGAGGTGTGCGGGAAGAGCTTCCACTACCGCCACCACCTGGTCGGCCACGAGCGCATCCACACCGGGGAGAAGTTGTACTCCTGCGAATATTGCGGCATCAAGTTCAACCACAAAGGGAACTACCAGACCCACAGCCGCCTTCACACGGGCGAGCGCCCCTTCTCCTGCGACCTGTGCGGGAAAAGCTTCAACCGCAAGGCCGATCTGCTCACGCATTGCCGCATCCACACCGGGGAGCGGCCGTTCACCTGCGCGGACTGCGACAACAGCTTCAGCCGCAAAAAGCCGTTCTCCTGCGATCAGTGCCGCCGCAGCTTCGTAGAGCACCCGCACCTGCGGGCCCATCAGAAGACGCACCGCGCGGCGCCGGGGGAGCGGCCCTTCGCCTGCGCGGACTGCGGCAAGGGGTTCAGCAGCCGGCAGTACCTGAGCCGCCACGAGAAGATCCACACCGGCGAGCGCCCCTTCCGCTGCGACGTGTGCGGCGACAGCTTCATCCAGAAACCCAACCTGGAGCGCCACAAAGGCATTCACAGCGGGCAGCGCCCCCACCCGTGTGCCGTGTGCGGCGGCAGCTTCTTCCGGAAACACAACCTGGTGCGGCACCAGCGCATTCACACCGGCGAGCGCCTGCACTTCAGCTGTAAGGTGTCGCAGCCGGTGACGTCACCGCAGGGGGGGCAGGGCGGCTGTCAGAGCGCCGCGGCGCCACCGGGGAACCCGTGTAAGAACGTCTGCTGTAACCGCGCTCGGTTAGAGCAATGAGGAGCCGGCCACGGTGACTGTGTGATCACATGGGTGGGCGGAGACCGCCAGAGGGTCATATGACACGAGGGAGGGAGTTCTGAGATCACAGGGAGCCCTGCCGGGGGGTGGCACACGTGTGACTCAAAGGGAGCCCTGCCGGGGGGTGACACGTGTGACGCAGAGGGTGCTTCATTCTAATGTCTGCCGGCATTGGGGGAGACGAGTCGGCACGTGAGGTGTACATGGAAGGGAGGGTCCAACACATGTGATGTATGAGGGAGCAGATGGGCCGTCATGTACATGGAAGGAAATAAAAGTTTGCACATGTGATGTATGTAGTGGATAGTAACATGATGTACATGGAGTGGAGAGAGGCGTACACATGACACACGGGATGTATATTGGGGGCGGGGGAGGCAGTAGGGAGACGGGATTGGACATGTGGGGGAAGGGGCAGAGAAGGCTTGGCGTGTGCGACATACACTGTACATGGGAAAAAAAACTGAAGTTCACTCTTCTCCCCCCGGGGTAACAATGTGTCACCTTTAAGACTGGACGTGGCATGGAACTCTACAGATGAAAGCCCATCTCTGGGTAAATATGACCCCTCCCCCCCCCCACAAGTATTGCCACGTTGCTGCCCACACGTGCTCAGTATAGCTCCTGAGGCAGATAAGACGGCTGGTTCAGCTATGACACGTACTGGGGGAGCCACGGGATGTGCAATCTGAGAATACCCATCCACAGATTTATGGAGCCTCTTACATTGGTGGTCAGAGGGAGGAGGAGCCGTTACATTGGTGGTCAGAGGGAGGAGGAGCCGTTACATTGGTGGTCAGTGGGAGGAGGAGCCTCTAACATTGGTGGTCAGTGGGAGGAGGAGCCTCTTACATTGGTGGTCAGTGGGAGGAGGAGCTTCTTACATTGGTGGGAGGAGGAGCCTCTTACATTGGTGGGAGGAGGAGCCTCTTACATTGGTGGTGGGTGGGAGGAGGAGCCTCTTACGTTGGTGGTGGGTGGGAGGAGGAGCCTCTTACGTTGGTGGTCACAGTGGACAATAAATCATTTTGGTGTACGTTTAATAAACTGTGAAAGAGTGTGATAAGCAGTGAGGAGGCTTTTCTCACCTTAGCAAAGTGAAAAGTCTAGAAAATGGTGTTTAATAACCCGAGATAAGTCAGGTAGGAAATATCTCACCTCTGCTCATCCCGGTGATAAGTACACGGAGAGTAATGGGAATAAAGGGAGGAAAGTAGAGAACAGCTTTATCACTGGATAAGTATTGTGCAAAGTCCCCTGGATTTAGCACCCGGTCAGATCCGGTGATAAAGGCCTTTTTCTCGAGAAGCACCGAGCAGAGATACAGGAACTTGTCATAAACCTCCTTCCTTCCGGAACCGTTACAATAAAGCGCAGAGGCTCCTCTTCTGGATTTCTGACATTGTGGGACATTTATGCCGGCAGCAATGGTTGGCTGACTGAAGCCCGTGACACCCTGCAGGCATTATATATACCGTGTTTCCCTGAAAGTAAGACCTGGTCTGGTGGTAGCCTGTGAGGGGGAACGTGAAGAGCAGGAGAGATGGTGTCGGCCTGCGGGGACACACTGTAATAAGGGGATGACGGGGGACTCCCTCCGGCCAGCGCAGTGACAGGGAGCACTCCGGTACCAGACTGGACCGACTGCTGTCCCCCTGAAGCAGGGGCTGACTGGCAACTTTTAGCCCAGGGGGCAAGTACAACCCAGAGGCCCATGGTGCGGCAACTTGGCCCCCCTCACGCTCTGCCTCTTCCCCCCGGATTCTCCCCGCCCCCGTCTGTCACTTTTGCCGTCTATGTAACAGTAGTTTGAATGTATTTATCGGTTTAGGAAATGTGGAGGGATGCCTCGTCAGGGGTGTGCGCGTGCATGACTGCTGCGACCCCGGTAGTTCTGCCACTAACTCAGAAATACATTGTACAGCAATGCAGAATGGCATTGGCTATAGAGAACTACAAATCCCAGCAATACCATTACACAACAATGCAGAATACCATCAGCTAGGGATGCACCGATATATCGGCCGCCGAAACATATCGGCCGAAAATGGCACTTTTGGCATAATGCGGAAAGAGCCATGTTTCGGCCGATACATCGGCGCATCCCTGGTTTCTTTTCTCCCCGCTGGGCGCTGCTCCAGCGAGGAGAAAAGAAAGTGACAGCCGCCGAGCGCTGCAGGACGAGAGCGCTGTGAGCTGCGGCATCTCTCCTCCCACACCGCTCAGCCACCTATCACAGTCCGGCAGAGCGGTGTGGGGGCGGAGACAGCGCTGTCACAGGAGGCTGGGCTTTCCTCTCTACACGGCTCGATCAGCCTCCTGTGACAGCGTGTCAGAGAGAAGAGCAATAAGAGAAGAGCAAGGTACACACACTCAGTGATCAGTGATCGCTGTGTGTGCACATAATTGAGGATATGGCATGTTAACTATATCCTCAATTATGAATGAATGGGAGTGATCTACATCACATCTACATCACTTCCTGTCCATTCATAGTTGTAGTTATAGTAAACATGCCATGTTATCAATGATCAGGAACACTCATAGAGGATCCCTGATCATTGATAACTGGGGACACAGAAAAAGAGATTGAGGACTC